CTCTGAGACGGGGAGTGACCTGGCTGGACACAGGCTTGAGGAGGTCCGGCCGGCTCCTAAGAGTGTAGCAAACATCCACCTTCCCCCAGGTCCACTCAGCCCTGCAGGCCCTGGTGTCCCCTCTGGCCGGGTCCACTCCCAGCCACGCCCCGGCGCCCACGGCCTGCCCTCGCCTTCCTCCTGCCCACCCATCCTCCACACCTCACTGCAAAGTCCACCTGCCACCTTCCAGAAGGGGATCTGCTGCCAGCGGGCCCCAGGGTCAGGAGCCCAGCCTGGCACGGACCCAGACCTTCCCGCCCGTGCCCTGTTCCCTGAGCACAGCCCTCTGTTGTCACGGCTGCGAGCACCTCCCTCCACGGGGGTCACCCTGGGTCACAGCAGGCAGAAGGAAGGGCCCCGGCTGCAGAGGCACTCCCTCTGGGACACCTGACACCGCCCGGGGCAGCCTGGCCCTTTTGAGCAGAACTTCCGGGACACCTTCCAGCACAGCCGCTCCGTCCATTAACTAAGCAGCTAACTCGTCCCTTCCTCCCCGCCCTCCCTCCGCATGGCACTCTGTACCCCACGTCTCTGCCCGGATGGACGTCATCCCTGGTAACAACAAGGAGCCTGTGTCTGGGCTGCATTCGGGTCCTCGCTCTTACTGCTCAGGGTCCTGGGGGAATTCGTGTCCCTGAGCCTCAGCATCTCCTCTGTACAATGGGGCGATTTCCCCCTCAAACATGGGCCGATGGCACCCACGTCACAACTGTCCTATCCGCCCAGTCTGATGGGACCAGAACCTGTGTCCTTCCCCTCCCTCGGCCTCTCATTCCTGCTGCCTCCCCCTGGATGTGGTGACGTAAGACTACGCTGAGGGGCCATTCTGGACCCTGATTCAAACACAACGAGGCCCTCATGAGGCATCAGAGACGTTTTACATGAAGTGGAAGTTGGTGACCCAGGAGCCAGGGTCCGCGCGGTGATCCCGGCATTGTGGTCGAGACAGAACATGCACTTACTTTTGAGAATTGGATCCTGAAAAGTTTGTGGGGATAAAAATGACAAAATGTCCAAGGTTTGCTTTGGAATATTTCAGTGGAAGGAGAAGAGGGATGGAGGAAGCAAGAGGAGCCGTCTTGAAAATTCTAGAATCCGGGTGTCGAGGAGTTTGCGATATTGTTCCCTACCTACGTTGGTGTCTGGACATTTTTCATACTGATAAAAAAAGATCGAGGTGACTGTCTAGGACTGAAATGCAGTTTATAAATCAGCAGCGGCGGCGGCCACCACCTGGGAGAAGACTCGCCAGAATTAGCAAATAGAAATTACGGGATGCCCAGGGGTATTTGAATTTCACATAAACAACACACGTGACTTCTAGCCTGAGTATGCTCCCCCCGATATTTTACCGAAACTGAGGAATTCTCTGTGCAAAGAGCCCGGCGGTTCCTTATAAAAGGACACAGGTGCGATGACCTAGTCTCTGCCCTCCTGTGCCCCACAGACCTGGAGACGGACTTACGTCCCCACAGAGGCCTGTAGGCGGATGCTTACAGCAGCTTTATTCGTAACAGCCCCAACCTGGAAACCATCCAGATGACCTTCAGCGGGTAAATGGTTAAACAAGCTGTGCTGCGTTCACACCCCAGGAGGAATACCTCTCAGCAATAAAAAAGACGGGGCTCCTGATAACACGCAGCCACTTGGATGGATGGTTGACGCTGAGTGAAAAAAAAAAAGCCAAGCCCGAAAGGTTCCGCACTAGATGATTCCATTCAGGCGGCATTCTTAAAAGGACAAGAGCGTGGACATGGAGGACAGAGTGGCTGTCGAGGCTTAAGGTGTCGAGGGAAGTGGCTGTGGCTAACACAGGTGGCCTGGGGGACCTCGGGGACACTGGCGGCATTCTGCATCCTGACGGGTGAACTCCAGTCTCACAAGATGTTACTATTGGGTGTGTGTGTGTGTGTGTGTGTGTGTGTGTGTGAAGGGCACACTGAATCTGTTATTTCTTACTATTGCAAGTGACTGGGTGATGATCTCAAAACAAGAACGTTTAATTAAAAAGAAAAAAGAAGCAAGAAGAAGTCACGTGGTGCTTATCTGAGGGGCAGATGTGAGTGGCATCCTGCGTTTCCTCTGGCCGCGCTGGGGCTGCGGGATGCAGGCCCCCCGCCCCGCTGCAGAGCCACCGAACCAGCATCGCAGCGTGACGCCCAGGCAGGAGTTCTGACAGTCCAGCCCCTGCTGTGCCCGGGCTCCTGGGGGTCTGTGCCAGCAGCAATGACCGTGTGTCCTCAAGCTCCTTACGATACTATCTCCAAAGCCCAGAGGGAGCCAACGGCACATTTACCCTCGATCAGCTGCCCAGGACAGCTGCGTCTCCACCCCCAGAGTGCTGTCCCGCTGGCCGCTCAGGGGAGCCGATGCCTGCCCTGGCCTCCAGGCCACCACAGCCCCAGCCCTGCCCCCCCTCTGCCCCCTCCCACTGCTCCTGCCATGTGACAACACACCTGTTCGTTTCTCAATCACCAAACCCAGTGGTCGGCAAATTCATTAGTCAACAGAGCCAAATACCAACAGTACAACGATTGACATTTCTTTGGAGAGCCACATGTTTTAAACGTAAACTTCTTCTAACGCCACTTCTTCAAAATAGACTCGCCCAGGCGAAACCGGTTTGGCTCAGTGGATAGAGCATCAGCCTGCGGACTGAAGGATCCTGGGTTCAAGTCAAGGGCACGTACCTTGTTGCGGGTACATCCCCAGTAGGGGGTGTGCAAGAGGCAGCTGATCGATGATTCTCTCTCATCAATGTTTCTCTCTATCCCTCTCTCTTTCTCTCTGTAAAAAATAAATAAAATATATATATTTTAAAAAATAGACTCACCCAGGCCAGGGAATTTTGTGGAAGAGCCACGCTCAAGGGGCCGAAGAGCCCCATGTGGCTCGAGAGCCACAGTTTGCCGACCACGGGACCAAACCCATTCCCACCGCAGGGCCTCTGCGCCTGCTGTGCCTTCTGTCCGAACGCTCTGCCTCTAGGGTTCCAGTGGCTCTGCCCACAGCCACCTCCCCAGAAAGGCCTCTGCTCCTCCTCTCTAACCAGGTCACATTCCATCACATCAAACCGATTCATTTTCTCATCACAGTTATTAGCACCTACCCATACTGAACGTCTCATGCCAGTTAGAAACCGCGGCACTTTTGAAAAAGTCCGAGTCATAAAAATCAGGGAAACACATTAACATGTAATTAATTAAGAATATAGTTTGTTTGGTGGGCAGAATCTTTTATTTTATTTTATATTTTATTTTTTAATACACTTTTTATTGATTTCAGAGAGGAAGGGAGAGGGAGAGAGAGAAACATCAATAATGACAATCTTTGATCGGCTGCCCCCTCTACTGGAGATCCAGCCTGAAACTCAGGAATCGAACCATGACCTCCTGGTTCATAGGCTGATGCTCAACCATTGAGCCATGCTGGCCGGGCTGGACAGAGCCTTTTAGAAGCACCCAGAACGTGGAAGAAATAAGTAGCCGAACAGGCCATGTCTGGGGGTCCTGCCGGCTCTAACCTTGACGTCTTTCCGTAAATCCCAGCGTACACCTGTTCCCCCCTAGCCTGAAAAATTCCATCTTTCTAGAATACACTTCGCACGCCTCACCCCGGCGTTCAAGGCCCTTCTCTCCGGGCCCCGGTGAACTTCCCCAGGGTATTTCCCTTCCTCCCCTGACAGACTGGTCTGTCTGCTCCGGCCAGCAGCTCTCTGCAGCGCTCCCTGAGCGGGCCACACAGGGGCCCCGCTCCCTGGCTTTGCGTGAGCCATTCCCTTTGCCAATTACGCCCTGTTTATTTGGATGAACAACTGCCGGGGGATTTGTTCAACCGATGAACATGTATGAGCACCCACTGCATGCACACAATGCGCTACATGGGTAAAAACAAGTATTGGTTTTCTCCCCCCCCCACCCCACCCCATTCCAAGTATAGGAGGTCCCGGCAGAACACCTGGTTAATGAGATTCCCATTTTCGATGTTTAGTTCTGAAGTCCTCTGTCTCACTCCTGGTGGCTTATGTGCTGGGTCAGTGGTCGGCAAACTGTAGCTCGAGAGCCACATGCGGCTCTTGGGCCCCTTGAGGGTGGTGGCTCTTTCACAAAATACCTATGTGATTGAAATGTACAGTGCGATTGAAACTTCGTGGCCCATGTGCGGAAGTCAGTTTTCGGCCCTCAAAAGAAATTTCAATCGTCGTACTGTTGATACTTGGCTCTGTCGGCTAATGAGTTTGCCGACCACTGTGCTGGGTGGTCTCAGGTGATGGACTCGCTGATCTGAATCTGGGGGACTCCTGTCCACACTGAACTGTTTCCTCCAGAGACCTTGTCTCTGCATTTGCTGCAAACCAGAGGCACTGCCAACCCAGCATCGCTCGGACCCCTCGGAGGGCCCCCTGAAGGCGGAGACGCAGGCCCCTGAGGAGATCTGCCATTAGGGGAATCTGTAAGAAACTGCCCCGTGGGGGCCCAACACCTAAACATCAGCAAAGGCCGAAGGCCCACCCCCTACGGCCAGCACCTGCCCTTAGGACAAGCTGGTCCTTTCTGTTCACTTACTGCTTCCCTCTCTACCTCAGGCTGTGGCTTAAGGCTGGCTTCCTTTAGCGCGGAGAGGAAGTGGCTTTGGAGATTTCTCAGATGTGGTGCAAGCCTGGCAATGCGTTAAGAAATATATATTTTATTCAGGAGCGGATTCTTTTGCAGTGGGGTAGAGGGGAAATCCCAGGAATCGTGAGGCAGCCGCCGAGATCCCCGGAGAGGTGAACTCCCAGTGAGGAAACGAAGGCTCACAGAGGTGAGACGAGTCTTACTCAAGGTCGCACGGCTGGTGGCAGGCCGGTGGGGGGTTTGAACCCGTGCCCAGTGGCAGAGAGCAGGCTCTTTCCACCCTCCCTCGGCCCCGAGCTGCCCGCCGAGAGCCGCCGGGCCCGGGCTCGCCGGCGCCCTTACCTGGTGCAGGGGGATGACGAGGAAGGCGCCCCCGCCCGCGCACTCCGTCACCACGGCGATGAAGTGGGGGTTCACGGCGCAGAAGTGATTGTCGTGGACGCTGTGGGTGATGGGCACCGAGTCGTAGCAGTTCTCCTTGCTGGCCGGCTTGCCGAAGACGTGGCGGAACTTGGAGCTCCGGTACTGGGGGTGCCATGACATCTGCGGAGACACACGGGGACAGGGGGGCTGAGGCTCGCGGCCCGGGGAGCGGGGTGCACGGCGGCCTCGCGGGGGGACACAGAGGAGGGCGCCCCCGGGACAGGGACGTGCTGTGAACCCAGGGAACAGGCCATCTCGGCGGCTCCTTCCACGGCCCCGGGGAGACGCAGCGAGATGACGTGTGATCACTGCTGACCTGCCTGCTTTTCGTCCGTCCAAGCGTGAACACGGAAAGAGCAGAGAAACGGGAGAGAGGCCTCAGCACATCCCCAATCCACCATCCCGCCGGGCAGGCCGGCCACCCCGCCCCTCCCAGCCCAGCCAACTGGGTGACCCGGTGCCCTCCGGAGCCAGCCAGCCTGCCCTGCAGTCCCAGCTCTGCCTCTTGCCAGCCCGGCAGGCAAGTGACTTAACTTCTGAAGCCCCCCTTTTCTCATCCGTAAAACGGACAAGTCCACCTGAGCTCACAGACACCTCCATGGAAATAGCAGCTCATCGTGGGGGTGGCTGCTAAGCGCCAGGGCCACCCCAGGTGCTTCTTCCTCTGTCTGAGCTGAGCAGGTGGGGGCTCCTTGGTCCCCATCACAGATGCAGGGGTGCGGCCGGACGTGAGGCCCCGAGGTCACAGTGTCAGCCGTGGAGCTGGGAGCAGAACTGCGGTCTGCAGCCTCCAGCCCCAGGTTTCTGAAGATTACAACTGAGATGTAATCTTTCGCAAGCACTGAACCCTGGACCCCCCCCTCAGCCCCTGACCGTCACCACCCCCACTGCACCCCGAAGGAGAACGAGGCTCCGGGAACTAAGTGGACGCCCCCTGGAAATGGGGCGGGTGGCCTCCGCGGGGGAAGCCGGCCTCGGAGCAGCCTGCACACCAGCGACCTTCTGCCCCCGGCCCCAGACTCCTCTCCCCACCCCACCCCACCCCACCCACCCCACCCGACCCGTCCCACCGCCTTATCTTCAATGCCAAGGTTCGCCCAGACCTATTGCCACGGAGGGAAATGCACAGAAGTGGGGGATGGAGCAGCACCAGCCTCTCCCTTTGCCCACGATACGGGACTGTGCACCCCTCTGTGCAAGTAAACTTTGCGCGGTTGCGTGTGCACTGTGCGTGTGCAAGTCTGTGCATGAGCACTGCATCCACCAGAGTATGCACAAGGACCCAGGGCTCACTCCCAGGGTGTGCACGCACGTGTATCCGTGCATGCGTGAGCTTAAGGACTCGGCGATTCAGAGAACAGGCGCTTTATTTCCCCTACAAGCAGGCACTTGCTGGAAACGCAGGCCATTGCGGGCCCTCAGCCTCGCCCAGGGGCTGGCCCGGAACGGCGGATCCCGGCCAGGTGTATGTGCCGCCCCTGCTATCCTGCCCGGTCCCATCCGGCAGGGTCCACGCCAACGCCACAGTCCTAGCCCTTCGGCCACTCCCAGAGCTCTGAGGCTTTCCGAGGCGTGGCACAAAGCAGGGGTGGCATCTATTCCGTCCCATGCATGCTTAGTGCCCCCGAGGCCAAGGATTAGGCTCCGTGGGCTGTGAATTCCCGCCCTTCCCCCTCCCAAAGGGGTTAGTCATCTCTGGGTTAACATCCCACTGAGTTGATTTAGTGCCTGGCAGTGGGGAGCTGGCTGCCTGTGCCAGCCCTCAGCTCTCCTGCGGATCGGTGTCTGTTTGGTGCAGGAGAAGCAACCTGACCAAGATCCCAGGGGTAGGATCAATGAAGGTAGGAAGCAGAAGGCAAACCCTGTCCAGAGGCCCCTCGTCCTGCCACACGCTCCTCTCTGACAGGTGAGAGACGGACAGAGAGACAGACACAGCAACTCTCCTGCCTGCCCCCAAAGGCCTGTCTTCCCAGCCCAGCCCTCCGTCATCGAGGAACCAGCGTTAGCTCGGGGGTGGCTGGAAAGAAACCCACGCGGAGTGGTACAAAGCGGCACAGGAGGTGATTCATCGATCGCACCATTCCCGGCCTCGGGGAAAGAATGAAATTACCTGATTTGGTCTTGGAACCCCTGGGATGGGTAGATGCCTGCTGCTGCCAGCTACCACTGTCTCGTTATACGTGTGTGGTTCCACATCTGACGTTTGGAGTTTTATTTCTTTTTCCTAAAACCTGACCTTGTGGTGAGTGAACTAGCTCCAGACCTGCCTCCTGAGAGTCCGAACCACCACGCTCATGTCTGCCGCCGTCAACAGAGGGAGATTACAACCACAAAAGTTTCCTGGTTTTAAAAAAACGGCCCAGCCCACGTGGCTCGGTGGCTGAGCATTGACAGTTGGATTCCCAGTCAAGGCTCGTGCCCGGGCTGTGGGTTCCATCTCCAGTGTGGGCTGTGCAAGAGGCAGCCGATCAATGATTCTCTCATCATTGATGTTTCAGCCTCTCCCCGTCTCCCTTTCTCTCCGGAAAAAAAAAAAAAAAAAAAGATACAGCATAATATGCTAATTGGACCAGACGTCCTTCCAGGCGGCCTTCTGGATGAAGCCGGGGCTGTGAGGGAAGCCCGGGTCCCGGGTGCCAGAGGGAAGCCGGAGCTGGCAGCCAGGGGAAGGCAGGCCCCTTCTTGCACAAATTTCAACCATTGGGCCTCTAGTATAAACATAAACCAATGTTACTGTAAGAGCACAGAGCATTCTGTCTGAAGGTGGCCTATAAAAGACCAAAAAAGATAACACAATAAACACCCAGTATGGGCAGGTCCCTCACCTTGACTTCAATCCTGACCAACTGTCACCTGTCGTAGGATTTATCCTTGGCCCCAAACTGGCCAGAACCAGTTTGGCTCAGAAGATAGAGCATCGGCCTGCGGACTGAAGGGTCCTGGGTTGGATTCTGGTCAAGGGCATGTACCTTGGTTGTGGGCACATCCCCTGTGGGGGGTGTGCAGGGGGCAGCTGATAGATGTTTCTCTCTCATGGATGTTTCTAACTTTCTATCCCTCTCCCTTCCTCTCTGTAAAGAATCAATAGAATATATTAAATAAACAAATAAATAAAAAGCTCCTTTCTAATTCATCCTGATGCACCCGAGAGGGCGGGACTCGGGGTCGGAAGACAAGGCCCCCTGCAGGCAACGAAAGCTCCTCAGCCCGCAGCCCCCCTGCCCCCCCCCCCCCCTCCGGGCAGGAAGAGGAAACCCTGCTTCTCCGGAGTGAGACTCTGCCATTATAGGCCAGGCCCTGCAGCTGCCCCTCCTTGGCACCAGGTGCTCTTACTGCCGCCAGCAGCAGGGTCTCATCCCCCAGGCTTAGTTTTCGTCCCTCCTTCAAAGCAGAGGCCGGTCGCTGCCCACCAGAGGAGGAGGCTGAGATGGGGATGGAGGTTCCAGGACTGCAGTGCTAACAGCGGGAAAGTCCCAGGCAAAGGGGACAATGGTTCCCCTGCCACCTGCCACAGGGACCTTTTTCTGATTCACGTGCAATTATTTTCCTTTAAGTCACCAGTAACCCCGACGCTGGCAACCCGCCCCTGAGAGACTCTAGAACTGACTTCTTTTAAAATATATATATAGCCCAAACGGGTTGGCTCAGTGGATAGAGTGTCGGCCTGCGGACTGAAAGGTCCCGGATTCGATTCTAGTCAAGGGCATGTACTTTGGTTGCAGGCACATCCCCAGTAGGGGGTGTGCAAGAGGCAGCTGATCGATGATTCTCTCTCATCGATGTTTCTAACTCTCTATCCCTCTCTGTAAAAAATCAATTTTATATATATATATATATATATATTTTTTTTTTTTTTTTTTTTTTTTATTGCTTTCAGAGAGGAGAGGGAGAGACAGAAACATCATTGATGGGGGAAAATCATTGACCGGCTGCCTCTTGCATACCCCACACTGGGGATGGAGCCTACAACCCAGGCATGTGCCCTGACCAGGAACTGAACCGTGACCTCCTGGTTCATAGGTCAACACTCACCCACTGAGCCACGCCAGCTGGGCTGGAGCTAACTTCTGAAAGAGCCCAAATCCTGAAGCAGAGAACAGACCGTACCAAAGCAGGAAAGTCCAAGTCTGTAAAGAGAGGTGGATGTGAGATGATTCAGGCACCAGCCTCCACCCACCGCTGGCTGTGCTCATTCTGAGCCAGGGCTGCAGTGGGCCGGGGCAGGGGGCCAGAGAGGGAGGACTCAGTGACTGCTTTCCACACGTCTACACGCCTCAGGGGAAGACGAGAGGCCAGGACCGGACAGGCTGTCTCCCTCTGTAACTGACGGCCAGGGCTGTGGTTGCTCCTCTCAAGGCTCGAGTACATCACAGCTCTGGCTGGGGACCCAGGCACTGGCTCTGTCCAACCCCGAGCCTCCCGTCACACCCGGCTTCTCAACCAACGTTACCATGAAGTTCAACGTAAAACCCAGCTCCCGGCCGCCCCGGCAGCATTTCCAGTGCTCGGCAGACACGTGCGCCGTGTGGGTATCCGATGGAGGAAGTGCGATTATGGGACCCGTCCATCACACCCGTGTGACTCTGGGCACGTTATGTAGCAGTCTGTGTCCTCCCCAGGAAAACCAGGCATTGTAACAGCAGCAAAAACAACAGCCAACACGTGGCTAACTATGTGGGAAGCATGTTCCATGTACTGACTCAACCCTCACGGCAGTTCCATACGTACGGTCGCCCCGTTTTTACAGATGCGGGAACGGGGGCCCAGAGAGGGTAAGTAACCCGCCCAAAGTCACACAGCTCGTAGGCATCTGAGCTGGAATCCAAAGCCGGCCCGTTGTTTAGTCCCAGGCCCACACTTCCTCACGGGGCTGCCCTGAGCACTCAGGGAGACAGTCCACACGGCAGTGTCCGATGAATGCTCAGCGCTCAGCAGGTGCTGGCTGTCAGACGGATGTGGTCCATCCACTCAGTCCCAGTGCTCACAGGACGCTGAGATTGGATGTGGTGCATGACAGGTGTGTGCCGAAGGCCCAGCGTTTGGGGAATCGGAGCAAGAATCCCAAACCAGGAGGTGCCAAGCACCTGGCCCCTGGCGCTGGCCACGCTGGTGGAGGGAGC